GATAGGCTCTACCAGAGACCCACCAACCAACGGCGTGGCTATTTGGTATTAGACTTGCCTGGGGACGTAAGCCCACTGAATTGCACATAATTTGGTTTAGCGACCCATTGTATTGGCTATTTGCTAGTACGATTCCAAGCTGAAGTAGAATGCGTGGCGCATCCCAAAAGAGACGGCGTGTTTATACTGAGTGTGGGTAACGCGCCAGCTGGACGGTTACACCTTGGTGGGGGGGGGTCATTATGCAGAATAGAAGGGTTTTTGGAGGAGTTTTCGGGCAAAGTTACTGCATTTGGAATTGTCCCACCCACTCTGGACATCTTCCCCCTTCGAGCCTAGGCAAAAGTCCTCTTATCCGCTATGGCATTTCTAGTTCCACACGAGAGGTTCTTTACATACTCCACCCCATGGTTGATAGTGCCGCCAGCTTAGACTGTCGTTCGCGAAAGCTGATTTCCCAATTCATATTTGATAGCCGGTAATCTCCCTATCCAGTCACATACGTTTCCCACTCACTAATTGTCTTAAATGGGAACTCTTGAACGGTCCAACTTTTCCCAGACGCTTGACCTAGTCTCTCATGTTATGGTGTTCCACTAATGCAATCGTAGTTGACAAGGTTTGAGTAGAGCGTCCTTCAAGTGCACGGGGGTACCCTTTCCCTTGGTCGGAATGGACGATTTGCAGGCGCCATTACAAAAGGAGCAGAATGCGATGTGAAGGTAACCAATTTGTCTCGGAAGGTCCTTGTGTCTCGGTACTCGAATTACATCAAAGACTGACTCAATGAGGTCTAAGGTCGTCTAGACCGGAGGTAAACCTTAAAGAACCTAATTACCTGCAAACAGAGTGTGTGATAGCTCAGAAAAACTGCAAAAACATCCTAAACAATACCCTACCGTATTCTACATATTTCCTTCCAAGACCTATCAAATTTCAGATATTGATGAGTGTTCAATGAGCAAATACAGTTGTCCAGAGAATTCCGTTTGCGTCAATCTACCTGGAACTTATTTCTGCAATTGTACCGAAGGTTTCGCGCCAAAGGTGAGCAGTAAATCTGCAGACCACATCAACTTTCAAGACTACTTAGGGAGCAGGGTCTTATTTGAGAAGTACATGTCGAATTTCGTTCATTGAGGAGTTTCTATTGATGTAATAAGGGGAAGTCTTGCGCACACGGGTTTACCGTGGGATAGGAGAGGTGAAGGGCGAAGAAAAATTGGGAAAAATTGAAGTTCGAGACTATCAGGGAGAACGTATTAACTCGCCTTCTTTCCTCATTCCGTTGACATGGTCTGATAATAAACCCAGCCATGTCCATCTTCTGACTTTTTCTTATTTTATTCTTATTTTTATTTTAATTTTGATTTGTAACCATCACACGGTAGTTCCTATAAACAAAAAAGATTCGGAAAACAATTTTTTTTCCATTTAGGGCCTTCCATTGGAAAAATGTGCCGATA